TAGGCATAATGATGAGCATATAACGTATGCGCGGGTTTTACATTTTTCGTGGTGCAAAGAATTACACTGATCTGGCATAACACCAGGTGCTCTTTCCTCTCTGGCGGATTAAATTAAGGCTTTAAACTTGTTTAGTTTTTTTGGGGGACGACCTATTTTTTCACATTTTGACGTTTGTTATTTTTTTTTTATTTCCTTTTTCAACGCATGAACCATTTTATTCTTTTTTTCCTACGCACAAATCCAGAGGAAATCTTATGCACTACTACAAACTTCGTTTAAGGGTTTTATTTACAGCATTTTTTCGCAACGCGAACTTTTCTTCACCCTCGCGAGAAATGTGAACGCCGTGAATTGCGCCTCCCGCATACGAATATTCATTTTTATATATATACAACAAAGCGGTCAAAAATATATGCAAATGGTATGAAGGAGCAGCATATATATTTACGTACATACTGATTTGTCCATACATGCTTTTTTATGCTTATCCACGCGACGCGTAGCTTTTCTTTGGCCTTTCACCGCCGAATTGAAAAAAATTTTCCTTCCAGATTTGTAAGTTTCATATTCTATAAACTCCACAATTTTTTTTTTTTACCTTTTCATTTTTTACAAATTCAACCCAAAACAGGTGCAATTGCAAAATAAAACTCCACTCTGTTTTAATTTCCCTGGAGAGAACATTTGATAATTCTTTGAACAGAAAATTTACCGAAGCGATTGCTTTATTTAAAAAAAATAATAATAAAAAAAAGCTTCGTATAAATTACGCATTTGAAACTTGAAACCCTCCCTTCTGCATAACTCTTTAATTGTTTCCTTCCTTTTAACGCGCATTTACACAATGAGGTAAGGCCATACTAAAGGGGGCACAGGATTTGTTTGTTCTTTTTGCGAACTTCCTCCCCTAGGAAGGGGGAAGGGGGGGCATATACAGAGGGGCAACACCCATATCAGCGTAGTTAAATGTTTATATGCATATCTCTATTTTGTCGTGAATGCGCTCTTGTATGTGTTTGCTTATACTTGTGTCGTTTTTTTACTCGAAGAGCCTAACCGCTGTAGGGGGAAAAAAAAACAGTGCCGCAATTAGCTTACCCAATGATCAAGTATCACGTACAGCACTATGCGGCGCTGGCATTTTCTGTTTCAAACGCGTCATTTCATGTTCTCCGTACCGATTTAATGAGCCTGCATTTCCGTTGGAGGAACATATTTCATGTGAATGCTCGCCATTTGTTATCCCTCTTCATTTGTTCACGCATTTCATTGGAGCCTCCCCTCGGGGAACATAAATTATATAAATTACATATGTTATATATGTTGTATATGTTGTGTGTATCGCCCGCGCGCTGCACACCGCTGAGCGATTTACCCATTCCACTTGCTTCCATTTCCCTTTTTCCCCCTCTTAGCAAGCTAAATCAAGATCTCTTAAAAAAAGCCATTGCCGACGTGTTCGAAGGCACAAAAACGAAAAAGAGAAAATTCGTTGAGACGGTTGAGCTGCAGATCGGGCTGAAGGATTACGACACTCAAAGAGACAAGCGTTTTTCAGGAACGGTAAAATTATCAAATGAAGTGAGAAAGAAGCTGAAGGTATGCATATTGGGAGATGCTGTACACGTGGAGGAAGCACAAAAATTAGAATTAGATTATATGGACATAGAAGCGATGAAAAAATTAAATAAAGATAAAACGTTAGTTAAAAAGTTGGCCAAAAAATATGATGCATTTTTAGCAAGTCAGGTTATCTTACCACAAATTCCCAAACTTCTTGGTCCAGGTTTAAACAAGGCGGGAAAATTTCCTTCCCTAATTACGCACAATGATAAAATAAATGATAAAATCTTAGAATTAAAATCTTCCATAAAATTTCAACTGAAAAAGGTTTTATGCATGGGTGTTCCTGTTGGTCATGCCAACTTGAAAGAGGAGGAACTCAGATCCAACATTGTCCATGCCATTAACTTCTTGGTGTCTCTTTTGAAAAAAAATTGGCAGAACATTAGGACGCTGCACATTAAGAGCACCATGGGAAAGCCCCAGCGAATTTACGGCTAAGAGGCGGATTCATCAGTAAGCGGCGAGTTGACAGCTGAGAGGGGCGTTCTCAATTTGTACCCCCCGTGGACTTTCGCATCGAAGATGTATTCGTGATACACTTCCGTAGAGTGACACGTGCGCATACGTGACGAGTGCTTGTGCCGCGAATGTAAAAGGGAAATCTGGTCATGCGTCCAGAAAAGCGGGGACAACACGAACGAACCTGGAGAGAGGCAGCCGTTGTGGTTAAGGGCTTACTGCACAAGGATAAATTCGTAAAGAAATCTCTTGTGAGGGTCCACATCGATATGTACGAGCATATATATTTATTCTTTTATTTATTTACTCTTTCTTTTTTTCCTGCCTATGAGCTTATTACGCTGTTATCACCTTCTTGTCCTTTTTTCCAAGTAACAAATTTTTTTTTTTTTTTTTCGAATACCAATATTTTGAAAAACTTTTACTCTTTTCCTATTTCGAATTAGAATAAAGAGAAAGAAAAAAAAGACTAGAAATTGCTTTTCTAAGTGACAAAATATTGGGAGATTTTCAACAAATCGTTCATAAGAAAAAAAAAAAAAAGGTGCAGGCTAGGACACAGAGGGGCAGGAGGAAATCACTGGGAGGCACACGAAGCAGAAATGTCAGGGCAAGTAACACCAGAAGGGCGCGTCAGCAATTGTTTACTCCAACAGGGGAGGCAGAACAAAATAATAATCCCGCAAAAAAAAAAGATTCAATCTATACAATTTGGTCTTATGGGAATTAACTGTAAGCGCATTTCCGCCGGGTCATCCGTTGTATAATAAAATGGGGCACAAAGTGTGGTGGCTACTTCGGCGCCATGTGACTATTTTTCCTCCCCTTCTGTTACGAAATTGTTTACAGTAATGACTCCGCATACTGCCTTTTTCCTCTCAACCGGATGGAAATGATTAAATGGTTTGAGTAAGGAGACACACTGGTGGGGTGTGCCACTCTGTCTATATTCACATGTCAAAATTGTGTCAAGACTGTGTCAAAATTGTGTCGAAATTGCAACCTAATTTGTTTTTCCTGTCAGAAAATTTTCTTTTTCCTTTTTTGCTTTAATACATCGGTTACTTCCTCTGCTCTTTCATGGGGCGTATCCTGAATGTTTACCCCCAGTCAATGTCTAATAGCGGAAAGATTTTCCCGATGGGCACAAATTTGATAAAGTACAAAATTTGACTAGAAAAAGATAATGCATTATCGCTTCACCCCCTCTGACATGTTGTTGTGCAAGGAAGTGCATAATGGGGACATACCGAAGGGAATAAATAAAAATAAAATTGGGAATTCCCCCTTTTTAAGAGAAATTAAAAAAATATCAGTCCGGCACTAAAATGATAAAATGGAACGATGAACGTAGACTGAGCACTGTGTCACAAGGAGAAGTTTTAATTTCTTTTAAAGGGGTTGCAACGATGGTGTTACATCCATTGAAAGGTTGTTAAACATGCACAAATGTCTTTTTTTTTTTTTTGAGTTCTGAAAGCTGCTGTGTAGGTCTACATACTCACAGGGACTCCTCCACGCTCATAAATAAATGTGAACATGTTTTTTCCAGAGGGGGAAGATGAAAATAGGGACATACACATGGATGGTAATAAAAAGTGTTCCTTAAAGCATTTAATAGAGGAAGCATACGCCCTGTTATTTCGCATGGTACGTACTCTATCATCGTCTCACTTGGAAAATCCCCCATTCTTCCTTCACTGTTTTTTTTATATGCGCAATTTTCTCTAACCATTTGAGCACACATACGCATATGTGAAAGTCTGAGGGCCGAAAGCTGCTTTTTCTCCTTTGTCGAAATGGTCTGTACTTTGCGAAGAATCGTTTATGCTTACATTATACATTTACACTTCGCGCTTAACTCGCAGAGCTCTTCTGTTTGTTCTTTTACACGTTACACAGGTTCCTCCCGCTTGAATTTTCTCATTTCCCTAACTTACACATGCATGCGTGGTTATGCATACGTTGCTCATTTGTAAAAAAAAAAAAAATTCCCACTTTTGTAAATCAGTTTTTTCCTTTTTCACATTTCATGGATAGTTCACGAATTAAGAAAAAAGAAATGAATGAACACATTTTGTTTAATTAAGAAATTTCCTATCCGCTGTTTTGTTTTTTTTTTTGTTTTTTTTTCTGTTCTTTTTTTTTTATATGTGGGTTATATGTGAACAAATGCGCACTGCCTAAAGGGTTACGCGAACGCTGTGCACACGGATAATAATTTTTTTGGACTCTTAAAAAGGAGACAATCTGCATAAATCATCTTTTTTGTTTTTTGTAACTTGCTGATTTTTATTTAACCACATACATGTGCCTATTTTTTTGTTCTTCGCAAAAATCTGCGTAGTTTGACTTAGCACAGAGTTTGCTCGTCCGCCGTTGTCACGTGCGTTGTTTCTTTTGGGATAGACGCGGCGCACATATTCTGCCGTTTGCCTGGCGTTAATCCTCCTTTCATTTGTCTATCTTCCCTTTTATGTATCCTGCTGTCGCCCACCCCCCCATGACTTCTTTTTGTACCCCGTAATATTGCCTACCTAATTTTCCACCTTCTCCGTTTTTCTTTTGTAAAAATGTGTTAATTCAAAATGAGACACGATTGCAAAGTCAAGGTGATCGTTTTGTTTTGTGCGAGAGACGCATTAGCGTGAGTGCCCGTTCCACTGCGTCTCCTTCTGCGCGCCGATGTTGGCGCCGGCGTCTGTGCTCATGTCCTTGCTGATATTCGTGCCGTCCCTTTGCCCCCAATTTGTGATGCCCCTGTGCTGCATCCGAGCTGCGATGCGCCTACTTCCTCAGGGACTGTTTTATTGTTAACCTATTTTGCTGCTTCATCTACCAATTACGTGCTACCTGTCGCCGCTTGCTCGATTCTCCGCTTCCGCTTTTCCTTTTTCCCTTTGTTTCCCCCAATGGCACTCACGGACAAGTGGCGAACCGAGTGGGACAGGGAGCTTCGCCTTCTCCCCCAAGTCGAATCCATTGCCGACCACGACTTGCAGATAACCGAAGATATATTTTTCATATGGCAGGTAAAATTAACAAAAAAAAAAGGATATTTTTTGATACCTTCGGGGGGAGGTGTTTTCTATAACACGATTTTCTTTCTACACTATGCTTGATATGTCATGTTGCTGAGAGTAGTGTGTATGCTCCTTTTTTGCATGACATTTTCCACTATTTCTCTTTTTTTTTTTTTTTTTACCTTTTTGCGCTACCTTACACGTGTCCTTTCTCCCCTTCCCATTTTTTCGATGCAGTTCTTAAAGATGTACCACACCTCCATGCCGCACGTTCGGAACCTCATCGATTTCATAACAAGTAAAAAATGAAACAAAAATGTGTCGCCGTACATTGAGAAAAAGCGTCAGTTGGTGATGGCTCTTTCCGACACACTATCCCCGTTTACCCCCCCCCCCATGTGATCCGCTCTACATTCCAATTATAGTAATGCTAGCGATAATAACATCACTCCGCAACTAAAACGGTGTAAACATTTATGTGATCTCCTCTTTCTTCCACTCCCTCTGAAGTTAAAAAGCCTGAGTCACTCATATGGGGCGAACATATTGACGACTACATGTTTAGGGGAATGGACAAGGGGCAGAGATTATTTAATTTGTTAGTTTCAGATGGAAAAAGAATACATCCCAGATATTCCAAGAAGAAATTATGCGATACGTTGCTGTACTTTCGCATAAAGAATTACATCATTTTGGAGAAAATAAATACTGGCTCCGTTGGACAAGTTCACTTGGCTTTGGACAAAAACACAGGTTGGTCTCTCCGCTACAGTGTGCGGCGGAATTCGCACTTGTAGCTCCGAACAAGGATAAGCAGCCATGCACATTTTCGTTCGTAATTACAGGCGTATCCACATGCACTGATACATGCTGACTGCGCTACCCCCCACAGACACCCTCGTGGCGGCAAAGGCCATAGACAAATCCACCGTGCAAGGCGATGAAGAGCTGTTTCAAAAGCTAAAGGAGGAGATCAGCATTTCCTGCAGAATGAATCATCCGTTTGTTGTAAAAACAACCAACGTCCTTGAGACGAGGGACAAAATTATTCAAATTATGGAGTACTGTGATGGGGGCGACCTCATATCCTACGTCAGAAATGTAAGCGGCAGAAGATTCTCAAGCGAGCAGATGTGCCTACGTGAGTACATGTGTCTACTTGCGTTGGTTTTCTTACATGCGTGCATTCTCTTACATGCGTGCGTTTTCTTACATGCATGTGTTTGCTCTGCCCCTAACTGCGCGTGACCACTCATCACCCCAACATGCGCTCATCATGCCCCTTCCCCACGACCGCAGAAGCTCCACCTAGAGGAAATCAGCGCACACTACTTCTTTCGCAAAATCGTCCAAGGGCTCCAGTACATGCACCGAAACAACGTGTCTCACAGGGACCTAAAGCCAGAAAATATCTTCTTATGCAAAAGACAACTAAGTCAAAGAGAAAAGACGTTAATACGAATAGGGAAGTTACCATCATGCTCCGAATACGAATTGAAGATAGGGGATTTCGGAGCCTCCTGTGTTAATGAAAAAAATAAATTACATCACGATATAGTGGGAACCTTAAGTTATGCTGCACCGGAGGTCTTAGGGTGTAACACCACCTGTGGCTATAGCAGTCAAAAGGCAGATGTCTGGAGCCTCGGGATTATCCTCTATGCCATGTTATTCGGTTTACTCCCCTTTGACAACGAAGGGAAAAATGTTAAAGAAGCTTACAACTCGATTATAAAAAATAAAATTGTCTTTCCCAAACATAGGGTTAATAAAATTTCTATGAATGCTCGGAATTTGCTCTCTGGCATGCTCACCATAAATCCCACTAATCGGCTGTCCCTTGATGAGGTGTTGAACCATGAATGGCTAGCTGATACGGGGAAAACCAAGTTGGAAGTATCTCAGGTGCATAAGAAAATGAATTTCCCCATTTCCTCCACCGTCGCTTGTCCAGTTGGCAGCGGTAAGAACGACATGGACTTTGAGACCTTTAAAAAATTGTTTCTAATCAAGAGGGAAAATGGTCCTGCGGCAACAAACCTTTCCGTCCATGGGGTGGTGCCAAGCGCGATTCCGAGGGGGGCGCAAAATATGGTACACAGCGGGATGCAAAATATGATATCCAACGGTGCGCAAAATATCCTACCCAGTGGTGCCCCAAACGGGCTGCTAATAAACATGCTACCGAGCGTTGTCCAAAACGTCGTGTCTGGTATGGTGCCTCACGGAATTCCATGCGCCATTCCTTTCGGAGCCCCCTACGCTACGCCATACGCAAGTGCAAGCCCCAAGGAGAACGACAACTCGGGCACCTCCCCACGCAGCGATAACGAGAAGGGTCAAGTGTGTCATCTTCAACGAAGCAACTCGCTCATGGCCAGGAGCGACCCCTACCACGTGAGGCAAAACCAAAATCAAAACATAAATAAAAATAAGAAGCAAAACATAAATCAAAATAAGAACCAAAACATAAATCAGAATAAGAACCAAAACTTAAATCAGAATAAGAACCAAAACTTAAATCAAAACCAAAACACAAACCCTAGCCAGTTTTACCTGTACCACGAGAAAGGCGTTTTGAACACGCAGGTTAATCCCCCAAATGGGGGACAGCACAACACGGAGAACCCCGTCTACGCAGACGCCCTCCTTGCGCAGAAAAAAGAACAGGGGGAGACATCAAGTAAGTATGCGTTAAACGAAAAGCGTGAAGAGGGAGAAACCCCACTCATGGAAACAGACAAAAAATACACACATGGTGTTAAAGAAGATGATGATAACGATGATGATCTTCATGATCATGGGAACGATAGAGTCAAAGTGGGCACACAAAAAGGAATCACAAACCATCGCAAGCATGATCAAAATAACTACTACGTGCAGAAAACATATTTCAAAAATGCTATTCTGGACAATACGTACGTCGAGGTGAAGAATAACAATCAGAGAAGTAGCGTCAACTACTATGAAACTAAGCAACTGCAGTTAGAGCATTTGGAAGAAAATAAACTTAAGCTGATGGATCAAGCGAACAAGAACCCCCCTCTGTGTGCAAAGAAAAACGGCACTTACGATTTTTACTTCAATAAAAACAACATGTACAGAAATCAAAGCAACAATATATTTCTTCTACCATGTAGGGAGAACCTCATAGGGAAAAATAATCGGTATAGTAATTTGTACCTGTTTAAAAGGGCGAACCATTTTAACGTAACCAGCAGTGCGAAGTCTCCTCTGTTAAGCCATTACGATCAGTGTAAGGTGACAACAAGTAGGGAATACGACACCAGTTGGAAGTTCAAATATGCTCCCAACGCGAGTGACGGACGAGAGTCCACCATCACCTCGAATTGCACAAACGTCACTCCTAGTCCTAACAACACACCATCCATCGCGAAAGTAAACGTCTCACCGAGGGACGCAGTATTTTATGAAAATCCTAATTACAACCATCATGTACAGTACAAATATTATTATTATGATGATAAGGGGACTTATGTAGGGTGTTTAAGCAACCAGACCAGTGGACGTACTTGCGCCTCTTCCTGTGTGCTGCTTGAAAATCAAGTCAACTGTGCAGCCAATAATGCCGACTACACAAAGGAATGGACATATAGAAGGGGAGTCTCCGAATATGTCCAAACGGGCACGTCCACTAACAATAGCAATTGCAATAGTAATAATAACAATGCATGCTCATCTGACCGTAAGAGGGAAGACCCTTTTGTTAAACACCGAGAGGGGGAAGGTCACACAAAGCTGCACAGCTACGAATGGGGTAAAGACGTCGCAGGTGCTCTTTTAGCCGCTTCTGAAAATAGGGCAAATGTTATGACCAGTGGGCATGGGCATCCACGTGTGGTGCAGCAAGTGGGGAGAGCCCCACAGGTGGGTTCAGAAATGGGTGAGCACGCTCGTTGTGGAATCACGGACAGTAGTAATCCCACAAGGGACACCCTCCTCACCGACGGAACCATCACATCTAAGGTCAGCACACCCACGAATAACGACACAGAAGTGCAATTACGTCGAAAGAACCACGACGCAGGGGTGCAATTACATCCCAAGAACAACAACGCGGAAGGGCAATTATGTCCAAAGAACCACGACAGAGAACTTCAATTACGTCCCACGAACTCCAAAAAGAAAGACACCTGTATTATTCTCACTAAGGAAGGAATACTCCCCAATGGAAATAAACACTCTTTCCTTATGAAATCTCAACACGCAACAAAAATTGTCAGCCTTGGTGAATCTACCTGCGATCAAATGGACATGGAACGCTTGCAAATAAACCAACTGAAGGGAAACCCGAAGGGGAGTCAGCAAAAGCAAAACAAATCTACCCTGAACCTGTTCATCCAAAAGGGGAGAATTAACGGATGCGAAAAAATGGATAGAGCACAAGAAAAAGAAAAAAATATTTCACCAAGGGCTTACACCGATGAGCACTCCGACAAATGGAACATGCAGAGTGAAGAGAAAGATGAAAGGGCGGAATTCCTTCCCAGTGGGGATAGCCCAGGGCAAACTTACACTTCAAATTCGCAAAACACCAAAATGAATAATAACGCCGATGAAGAAGTACATGATGCCATCCATCCAGCTGAACGGAAAACAGAAAAGGACAATAACAGAGAAACACACAAAGGGGATAATAATGCCCCCGGGAAAATAGTTTCACTTCTTCCAGTCAAGGATGAAAATAAAAATGTAACTAGCCAAGAAGGGAGTAACACACCAGGGGAAAAAGACGCCCAAGGAAACTGTAAACCCTCCCTCGAACAAAGCTATAGCGATGGAAGTGAAACGAAGACGAAAAAAAAAAAAAAAAAAAAAATTATCAGCATTAATAATCCAAGTAAAGAAATCCAACGACGTCAATCCAAAAGTGACCCAAGTAGTGATGACAAACAGGAAAATCAGGTGGACAAAAAAAAAAATATAACTAACAGAAGTAGCAACAACAACCGTAGCGGCATTGCTGGACAGAGTGGACAGAAACATGCATGTGGAGAGAAAGACACCAACAGTAGCACAAGGGGAAACCACGATAGCACAGACACTGCTGTGGTGGGTGCGCGCAAAAGTTCATGGAAAAATGAGGGGGAAAAAAACAAAGTGGACAAGCGAAGAGGAATGGTAATTGAAAATGCTATAGAAAAACCTCACATGCCTAACTTATCCAAACCTGACCGTCATGGAAAAGAGAAAACAAATGCGCCGGAATCCCGACGCTACACCAGCACAGACAAAACAACGTATGGGCATCTGGAAGTGGACAAAAAGTTATGCAAAAACAAGGACAAAATGAAACAAAGGGACAACAAAATATTTAATGAAGAACAGATAAACCGAAAAAACAAATTTTTTTTGCTAAAAAAATTGTACTATTCGAACCATAGGGACCTCCATGTACTGCCCAACAGTGAGAACCAACATGAGAGGAAACACTACATCAATTTTCAGAAAATATTTCTCCACAGGAAAAGGAAGACAGATAGAACCCACATCCCCCCTTTAAGCTACTATAAAAAAAGTAACTTATGTTTTAGTAAAAGGGTGAAAAAAGACAGAAAACAACGAGGCGAGGAAAGCAAAAAGGTCGTAAAGAATCAAATGGACGTATGCCACAGAGCATATAACCCCCAAAGTAAAAATGATGTAATAAATATCAGGCACTTCAGTGAATGGTACTACGCGAACGGATGTAGCCAACATGAATTAACAACAAAGGAGAAATGGCAATCCAAGGAAAGGGTTCCAATTTATGATAATGTGTCACCATATGATGAACAACAGGTAAGTGATAAGGAATATGTTTATTTTTCCTCCAACAAAATTGAGTACATCAAATGTGCCACTCGGAGAAGCATTAGTCAGGATAGCCACAACACATACAGTGCTCATTATTACTACCGTACGATGAGCGAAACGAACGGGGGGGTATCCAACCAAGTTAGTGAAGCACCTGTCGTTAGCGCAGACAAATCCAGTGCCAAGTGCAGTGAAAAAACAGACACTATTTTGTGCGCCAAAAAGGAGAGTCAAAATTATATTAGCAAAAGAGAATGCGGAATAAACAACCCTACTTGTGGATTCAAAATGAGTGTAAAGAAATGTTCTCTTTCACATGAAGCAATTTTATTTAACCGAAATGGAAATGTCATGTTTCGAAAGAATAACTTAGCTAACCAAATGGGACCCCCTCATCTGTCTTCAAATTGTCCTTCCCAAGTGAAACCTACTCTTAGTCTTTCCAGTTACTATAACGAAAAAGGGGTAAACGACATGGGTAAGATGGGATTTACACGTAAAGACACAGAGAAACCGAATGAATGGGGGAACAGGCCTATTCAGCCAGGGCACAATTTGAACGTAATCATTGACAGGCACTGCGAAAAGAGTGGCACATACACTAAGGGCGATATCGAAAGTGGAGGATGCATCCCCAATTTGAAAAACCACGTTTTCCACCACTCCCCGATTGACCAGTCGATTAAAGTGCATCAGACTCAAGATAACGAAGCGACACACACGGAGAGCTCCCCTTTTAGTGCAGAGAACAATGAGGAGGGATATTCCCCCGAGGAAGTAGGATCCGCCAACGTGACTACCAGCAACGTCGGTACCAGCAGCGACAGTACTAGCAACGACAATAATCGATGCAGAAGGAACAATCAGGGAATAACCACGGAGCTCCAAGAGTTACGCGGCGTCCTCACATCCGACGCCACAAACAACTCATACATTGTGGACGATGCAACTAAAAGGAAAGACTACACCTCCTTGTATGACGACGTGAAGAAATCGTATTTGATCATTCAAAATGTAAGCTATAAAGATGAGCTAACGAAAGAAAAGATGAAAAATAAAAACGGGGAAAGGATCATAACACGATCGGATGCGAAAGAGCAAATCCAAGAGAATGAAGAAAACGAAGAGGGTGGGCAGCTTCGCGTAAAGAGGACCTCTCGAACGGAACACTCTACCCCACAGCAGGGCAGCGATAAAAACGAGCCGACTAAAAGTACAACTATGAAAATATCAAAAGATGATAGCCGCCCCACGAACAGGAGGAAGGGACGTTCAGGGGAAGACGAGCAAGACAAGAGTTCAAAAGGTGCGGGAAAAAAATTCCCTCCCCTTAAGCGGAAGAAGGGCCCCGTTTGGAAAAATTCTCCAAGTAACCATTCGGAAGGTAACCATTCGGAGAGTAACCATCCGCCAAGTAATCCTCAAAATAATTACGTCGTGGAATTCCCTAGAGAGTTAAATAGAGACCTGTCTGAAGGGAGACAGGACGAAGATAAATCTCAACCACTTGGCAGTAGGGCCAATCGAAAGGACACCCACTTGTTAGTAATGGACGATGGAAAGAACCCGCATCTGGACACACAACACATCTACATGATGAATGCAAATTTGAAAAATCAGAAACCACAAGGTGAAAAAGAGAAACATGAAAGGAACCAAAAAGGGAGTGTGCATAATGGACCCATCAAGAGAGAACACCCATCACATGAACTCACATCGAGCAAAACAAATGAAAAGCTAACTAAAAATAAAAAAGAGACAACCCTTAAGGAAAGAAAAACTGACAGAAGTAAACAGTTAGCAAATTGGAACATCTGGAACGAAGAGAAAAATGACACCATTCATTCGAAGGAGAAACATGAAGATTATCTAACCCATAATAGAAGCTACGATTTGAAAAATGCTCGGAGTAATTTATTGAGTATGTCCTATGATGAAAATGTAAGGAACGATTACACAGATGGTAACTTACTAGTGAACCCCGAACATATAGCATCCATCAATGATTTTAAATCGATTGAAAATGATGAAACGAACAAAATGATGTATTACTACAATTTGGATTCCACCCCAGCCAACTTAGACTTTCTCAATAATCTCATGTTCTACTCATCGCATATTAATCCATATAGGCATTACAAAAATAGCTACCTTTCAAAGAAAAGCTCCCTCACTCAGGGGGGTAACCTAACCAACTCCAAACAGAGTAGCGGTAATAACAGGACTGAGCAAAGGAGTGACCACCAAAATGTACCCACGTCAGTAGACCACAACTTGAGGAACTACCTCAATTTAAACAAGACATCCATTCAGAATTTCGCAAAAACGAAAAGAAATTATATCCGTGAACAAAATTATGAGTACAAATTCGGAACAAAAATGGATGATCAGATAGGAGCAATATCCTTGTACCCCAAGCTAAGGTGGATGAACATTTTTAGCAGAAATTCAAGCAAGTACTAGACCCATTTGGTGGGGGCATTAACTGCGTATTGGTTTTTAAGATGATTTATGAAAGGTGTTAATCGAAAGAGGGGCAAACAGAACGGAAGGGGCATCCCAATGCGTATGCAAATAGCCACGTGTTTATGTGCACCTTTACCTCCATACAGGGGGGCGAGAGACCCACGTTGAACTGGCTACTCTTCTTGTTTGGTCTTTTCTCATAGGGCACTTTGATCCCCATAGCGCGGCTTAGCCGTTCATACACTGTTTCGCTTATAAAATTGTACAGATGTAGATTCGCATGCACTCCTTCTATCGCTCTCCTTTTAGTGTTCTCCTTTTGCTGCACTCCTTTCCTGTTTTGTTTCCCCGCAACATTGCCACGCCACAGACAGGAGCGGCAGTTCACCCGTTTGAATGCCCCCCTTTGGCATCACACCATTTTACATTTTGACATAATTCGTCATGGCACTCGCAATAGATGCTGCTTTACGTGTGATATGTACGCCTACTGTTATGCCTACCCCTATGTGGGTACACGTACGCGTCTGTTTGTGTGTGTGTGTGCAGTGGAACAATGAAATGGACGTAGTTCCCCTCATTCCCGTTCCGTATGTGCACTCTGGTGCGAACGGAAGTACCACTAACGATTTGCAAACAAATCTTTGTATCTTCTATTTGAGGTGAAACGTCACTCATGGGGGTGCTGAGCAAAATGGGAGGAAGCTGTATCTTTTTTTTCTTTTTTCCCTAGCTGGGCATTCTTTTTTTTTTTCTTTTCACTCATCGCTCACACCTTGGCTCCATTTTTTACACAAAACCGGTCAACATTCTTGCACATTCGTGTCTTTTACTTTTGGGAAAATGCCCAAATGGTGTACTCGTGGATGAACTCCAAGTGGATTCAAAACGGTGGGAACTTATTTCATATGCCAATAAGTGAATAAAATAAAAAAAAAAAAAATTCGTACAATTGCACAAATTTAATGCCGAAAAATGTGCCCAATGCTCATTTCCAACATAAGTTCTACGAATTGGTGAAGCCTTTTCTATACATATGCAAAGAGTCCAGCGTGGAAGGCCTTTTGAGATACACGGTCAGTTTTACTTATGTAGGAAGATATCTCCCTTAAATTTTTAGGCGCCTAATTTGGGTTAAGCACTTTTTTATGATGGATATTATTTTTTTCCTTTTCGTGTCACCCTTTTATCATCCCCACTTTTCCCTTCCGTGGTGACTTCCTTTACGTTTTCTGGCAACAGAAAAGGGGGGGAGAGGAAAAATTACACCAGCGTAACAGCATCTGGTCGCTTTAATCGTGTGCTTGATTGTGGTATGCCTGCTTCCCTTTTTTACGCGTCCTCTTTTCTGTTGAGCTCCCCTACATGCCTCTTCCCTTATTTTTTATTTTATTTTTTCTTTTTGGTTAAGTTTGTGAAGTGTCACGTGTTTAGTTCGGAATATATTCAACTATTTCCATTTTTTTCACTTGTTTAACAGCACTTGCCTTAGTTTCTCTTTCCCAACAGGCCACCCCTTTTCTGTAATTTATAACCTCTTTCATTTCGGTTTTCGTTTGGGCGACGATTGTCCTTTTTTTTTTTATCCCCATTTGGGTCCGATTCGTGTACGCACGCCACCTTCTTCAAGTCCCTCCCCGTTTCTCTTTTTATACTCCTCGATGAAGTTCTCCCATTCATGAAACACGAAACAAAATTAGTGGAAAGTAAAAATCGGTAAGCTAAAATTTTTGAAGAGTGGCAAATTGGAGAAGCTTCTTAAATTGGCGCCTCTCGCGGAAGCGTGTGGAATAGGAAATATATTCTATGCTTAACCGAGGAGGGCTTGAGCATTTTATTTTTGCACGCCCTATTTGAAAGACCTATGGGGGGGAGGGGGACATTTTTATGGCCCAACAAATGTAGTGGATATTGCAGGCATGTAAAGATAAATATAACGCTGACTGCGCCAATACCTAAGTGCAAGTTCCCCCTCGAAGGAACAAACACACGCGGGATCGTACTTACATATATGTACATTAAAAAACTTGCCACCGCGTTCGTATTTTTTTCATTTTATATCAGTTTGCCCACGGAGCCGGAAACAAAGCCCCGCCCTGGGAAAAGAGGAACCCTCCTTGGGGTAAATTTCCTTAACACAGTTATCTAACCATCCGGGCTCTGCAAACCTTCTACGGAGCTTTGCAAAAAGGGGGGAGGCACAAACATCGGACACCCGTGGCAACATTATTACGAGCCCTTTGGACACCGATTTTTCTCCGCGCGCACCTGGTTTGCTCGAAGGAGGGACCCCTTCTCAGTCCAAGTTGAAACAGACCTTACTGAGAGGGATACCTCCAAGGGGATTTCACACAATAGAGACTTCAAGAAGTGCCTCACTGACGAAGGAGTTCTAACGAAGGAAGCCACACTACCGCGTTTACCGTTGCTTCTGCTGTCCCTTTTACTGTCGCTTCTTCTGCCTCTTTTACTGCCACTTTTTACTGTCTCCCCCCCGCTGTGAGAACCCATGGGAGACAACGCTGGCAGCTCGGGCAGCAACCCCGTGATCTCCATCGGAAACATCCGGGGGTTCGGAGGCTGTGACCTCGGATCGTTTCGAATGTCCAACGAGTTCTTAGGATGGAAGAACAAGAAAACGAACAACGTATACCAGTACAAGTACAGTGACATAAGTGAAGCGGAGTGGATAAAAACAAGCTACAACAACAACAGGCTACATCTAAAGTTCAGTGAGAAAAAAGACAATTTGATCATCTTTTTCGACGGATTCCCAGATAGAAATACTTCCGAAATAACTCAGCATTTTCAGAAATATTTCAATCTCAGATTAGTTAGCAGGAAGCTAGCCACGAGGGGATGGAACTGGGGAGAATTCAAGTTAGAAAATTCGAATATAACCTTCGACATAGACAACAAGTATGCATTCAGCATTCCAACGAACAGTATTAGTCAGCTAAATGTACAGATAAAGACGGACATAGCGATGGAATTAAAAAATGAGGAAAATAAGAGGACGAATGAAGACTTCCTATCAGAAATACGTTTCTGTTATCCACACGAAAATGATGAAAATCAAAATTTTCAAAATTTTAAAAATGATCTGTTAGAAAAAGTAAATATAGGAGACTCCAAAAGTGAATGCATTGCCTCCCTTACAAATATTCCTCTCCTGGTCCCAAGAGGAAGATACGAAATCGAAATGTACACAAAATCGTTCAAGTTACATGGAAAGTCCTACGATTTTACCATTCAGTATACTAATATAAATAAAATGCTGTTAGTCCCCAAAAGTAACTCCAATCAGTATGTTTTAATCTTTAGCCTAAATAATAAAATGAAGCAAGGACAAACGGAGTACCCATTCATTTTGATTCAACTCAATAACGATGACGACATGGAATTGGACATCAATGCAAGTGAAGAAGATCTAAAAAAATATAAATTGGAGAAATCACTCTCCGGAAAAGCATCCGATGTAGTTACTAGACTGTTTACTGCTCTGGTTAAAAAAAATGCCATCATTCCAGGGGACTACAGAACAGCAAAAAATGAACATGGTATTACATGCAGTTATAGAGCAGCCAGTGGACAGCTTTATCCCCTAAATAAATACTTCCTTTTTATTGTAAAACCCGTCATTTTAATCTCCTTTGATGACATTGTTACACTTAGTTTCCAGAGAACCGGAAACATAAACCAACACCGTTTCTTCTCACTTATCATAAAACACAAAAGAGGAATGAGTTATGAGTATACCAATATTGACAAAAATGAATACCTCCCACTGCTCGAATTTTTGAAAAGTAAAAATATACACATTCAGGATGATTCCAATGTTGCTGATAAAAAACAGGACTTTGGCGATGAACTCTCTGAATCGGATGAAGAGGAATATGTTGCGGATGAGGATGATGACGACGAGGACGATTATGTCGCAGAAGATGAGGAAGACGATGACGACGATGACGAGGAGGAAGAGGAAGAAGAAGACGATGATAAGTAGGTCAGAAAATGTATCACACGATATAGGTTCAGTTAGCCGAACTTCTTTCTCAATGTGTCCATTAATGGCGAAATGGAACAACCCATTAGTTTGTTACAATTTGGGGCGTAAACGAACGGTGCGTTCGCAACTGGGGAAACAAAACATCAAAGAGGTAGGCGAGAAGATAAGCACAGACGTACACACAGACCAAAAACCACAGCTGCGTGACTATTACACCGTTCAGTCCACATTGCATACACACCATCTCGTAACACCTCCATTTCGTATTGCCCTTTTTAAATTTTTCATCCTAACGATTTTTTTTTTTTCTTTTTTTTTTTTTTACCACACGGTGATGCATTTCAAAAGAAAACACAAAAAAAAAAGAAAAACGTAACTTCCACATGTGTACACTACTGGTTAAGATAGTGACAGACGCGTAAAGCTTTCACCACCTTCCCATTTTTTCCAGTAAAAAATGGCTACGTGAAAAGGAAGAAATAATAATAAGGAAGTTTGGCTTTATTTGCATTGTGTGCAAATTGTGAGGGCCCACACATACGCATATGAGTTCGTTCGGTAAAAAAAAAAACTCCTAGTCACAAATGTAAAAAAAAATGTGCAAAAAAAGTGTACCAAAAAAAAAGCACAAAAAAATGGACAAACAAATAATGCAACAACGTTCTGCGAACAACGCACAAATAACCAACAAATTAACCGCGTGATGCGTGTGGGAATACAGATGGTGCGCATGCCGAAGAAACAACGTTGGGCATTTTGAAGGAAACAAAGGTATGCGTTGGGAAACCTTCTCCCCTGAGTTCTTTTGACAAACACTATGAGATGTTCGTTTTTTCGTTTCCCCTTAAGTTCGGGTACTCGGCCTTTTTCCTCTTGGAATAATTTTCCGCCTCCCTGTAAAGAAATGAAGGTGTAGACGCTGAAGCACCAAAAGGGGAAGGAGCGGGAGCCTCAAAAGGGGGAGCACTCCCGTTACCCCCTTCGCTCTGCCTGGAGCGCATACATGGACATATATACACATAGAGAGACGATCGGATTACTTTATAAAGCACATTATCCTGTTCACAAAATTGTTATTGCCGATGTTTTGTTTTATGAAGGTCTTCTCGTTCGTGAACGGTTCGTTTTTTTGCAGCTCGTGAAAAATTAGGAGGAACTTGGTTATCTCGTAGGACTATGGGGACAAAACAGGGAAGTGGTGATCCGGTGATGCGATCATGCAGAGATGCAACGATGTAGAGTTGTAACGATGTGCCAACGTGACGAGGGGAAGATGCAAATCATAAAAAATGCGCACCGCCACCAGCGCAGGGCGTTATATGGGTCCGTGGGCCCATTTCTCTTCCACCCTCAGTGGTGGAGCCTCATGCAGGGCAGTGTGCGTATATATAGGCACTCTCTCTAACGGTCCCTCTCTTACATTCCTAAAACAGCAGAGCAGATTGATGATGCACTTGAGCCGAATGAGAACCCTGGTGCGCAGCGAGTTGTTAATGCCGGCAAGGCCACATAACTTACTCTTCAGCGTGTCCATATTCTTGCTGCTCTTTAAGGTGCTGTATATCCCTTTACTAACATTTATATACTCCTTGGATAGAATCAGATCGTTAATTTGTAACTTTTCCAATAACAACAAAATGATGTTGTTAAAATAAGGGTAAGGAATGTTCACCTTTTTTGGTACTTCGATATGATAGGATATAATCCAGTAGAGGCGAAAGTACCTCTTGGCTAAATAAATGCCAAGCAGATTTTCCAAAACTTTAATTATATTATATTGAAGATATTCATTCTTCGAATTGGTGTTATTTTGTGCCTTGTTCTTTCCTTTCCCTTTCCTTTTCTTTTTTTTTTTTTTAAATAAAAATGATCTATTTCGATAGTAACCATCATTATTATTCATATCCAGAACAGTTTCCTTTTTCATAAAAAATTTATAAAGTTGGAAATTCTTTTTCAGAAATTTTAATACCTTTTTCATACTTATGCGTCTTTTCTTATATAACGTACTTATGTCTATATTTCTCCTTTCGTAAATATTTATTACGTATTTCCACATATTTTTTATATTTTCTATTTGTCTTTTGACTGATATTTTGTGTATGCTGGTGATTTTAATAATCTCATTCGTGTACTTTGAGATGTTGTTGATGCTTTTATACTTTATAATTTCCTTCTCCAAATTGAAGTCAATGTTGTAATAATTTTTTATCAGTTTTAGAGCTCTATTTTTGCTTATGGGGGTGTAAAAATTGGAAAAACGCAGATCCAAATTGTTCAAATGATGGGACAAAATATTAAAAAGGTAAAACTGTTGTTTTATGTATAAACATAAAAAATGGTCGAACAAAATGTTGCTGCCTATGTAATCGCTTTCCTTATTTTCCGTGTTAAAGATATTCATAATTCGGTTTTTTACAAAAAAAACATTGTCTTTGTATTTTTCTTTAACTTCATTTTCGATACTCTTACTAATCACAAGATTGCTCTTTTCCTTGTTCGTCCTTTTCCCCTCTACATCGTCGCCGTCGCAATCACCATCATGATCCCCATCGCCCGCGTTGTTCAACTCGTTTTTTCTTTTGATCAAGTGGGCGTAGAAGTTGTTCTGCAGCATGCACAGCACTTCGAATTCTGCGGAGTGGGCAAAAGAAGGGCAGACAAAAGGGAATATTTTTTTTTCGCTTCTTTTTTGCGTATCATAAACGCGTCATTTTAGCTGCCCACGCTATCCTCACCCGCTTACCATTGTGCCCCTGGAGCCAAAGGTCGAAGATCCCGAAATTAATTTCAGTAATATTTGGCGAAAAAAGCGGTATTTCAAATTCCGTGATGTCCATCTTATTTCCGCTTTTTTCCTCACAGTCATGCCTTAACTCACGCACAAAAAAAAAAAAAAAA